GTCGGGTGCCCATGGGCGCCCATGCCCATGGGCAGGATTGCCGGATTGAGCCGGTGGAGACCTCCCTCGAGTTGACAGAGTAGAGCGGGGTTTCCGAGATGAAGAACGACCCTGACGATGCTAGCCAGTGTGTGTGAGAGGAAAAAGGGATCTAGATCTGGTAAGGTAGTAGGGGTGGGGTGGGGAAGCCTGGGGGCCTAGACAGGGTCGCTGGAGCAGGGATGAGCACGGACCGGGGGACACGCCTATCCCGGTCGCCATGAGGCGGGTGGTTGCCGCACTCACTCTCTGTTGGCTCGTTTCGTACTGAATAGTAATGGATTTGTTCCTTCTCTCCGGCTTCATGGGGAGGAGCGGCTCCGGTGGGATCCGCCTCCGCCGAGGGGAGGAAATCCTATGGCCCGACGATGCCATCGCCCCACCGCTCCGGCTCCGCCTCAAGCTCCATCTTCACCGCTCGGAGTGGCGGGAGCTCCTCCGGCTACATTTTCATCGGGGGTGAGCGGCGTACGGGAGCTTGAGGCACCGGCGGAGGATCCTGAGGACAGCCTGCGGCGGAGGAGTGCTTGCCTGCGCTCGTACTCCTCCGTCTCGCGGTGGAGGAGCGACGGCGGTGGCGAGAGCCATTGGTTTGTGTACCTACGGGTAGCCCATTTCCTCGCACCATCGGCGACGACGCACCGCCTCCCCTCAGGGTCGTCGCCACCTTGTGGTGGTCACAGCTTCCGCCGAGACTGTGATCACGAGCCTTAAACCATAGACCCTGGTGGATTCTAGAGGCATTTTGAGTGGACACTATGGTTATGACCGCAGGCGGGCGCACTCCTCCTGGGAGTGCGGCGAGCCACACAGACGGCCATATCCTCCTTGGGACCGCAAGCGACATGGTCTCGATCGACAGATCCGGACTTCTCGGAGTCGGATTCACTGCTCTCCTTGCCGGAGTAGGCCAAAGTTCACCGAGGAGCCATGGGACAGAGTGGAGTGGAGTGTAATTGATTGGCTAGGGTTTGATCCAGAGTGAGAATAATGATGAATTTATGTGGGGTCGAGTGGGCCACACTGGACCGCATCCAACATTCGGACGCGCTCGAACATGTCTAGGCATCCCCATATCCACCGCACATGTGCTTTATCGGGATTAATTGTTGGTCAACCAGGATGTTTGGGCTGCATTTGGGGCAGACGGGTAACAAGTGCGCTATGAGCGGTGCAACGGCACCTGTCGCTCAGCGTTCGCCAAGTTGGATACGGCACCGCAATGGGTCCGCAATGACCCAGACCTCGCCGCCACCTGGGCTCTTGACCGCTCCACCACCACTGCGGAGACGGCCACTTGGCGTCGCCACTGCCGCATTAACGTCGAGCTCGCCATCGGCAAGGAGTGGCTGACAGGGGCAAGGACGCCGCGAGGGCTACGCGGTCGTTGTCGGCATTGGTCGTCGCGGCCCTCCACACCGCATAGGAGGAAGCAGAGCGGTTCCTCCACGAGCGGCAAGCAGCGGCCGAAGAAGGCTGCCACGGCAGACCGGCGCCCTACCGCCACTTGAGGGACGACAGTAGCACGGATGACGACGACAGTGCGGCTGGGCAGGGCGTCCACACATACGAGGTGGTCGTCTAGTACAAGTTGTAGTTTCTTAAAGAATTTAGTAAAACGACCCAAATATCCGTCGTATATATAAATTATGATCGAACTTGAATGAGCGCGGATAGTTTTGGACGACCGGTTCATTAAATTTCGTCCACACATACGTGTTTCATTAAATTTCGTCTGGTTAGTCCAAATGTGGCTTGAAATGTATGCGGATAGTTTTGGACGACCGGTTCCTGCATCATTGTTTACGATCCACGGACGGATGCGATGTCCAGTTTGCGGGTCTGCGTTCGAGATGCCCTTATAAGCTAGCAAGTGAGACTATAATGTTTTGTCTGTAGTTGTTGTGTCTTCTGTGCTCCTACCCGTGCCATTAAAAGTTTGCAAAATATTGACTGCCCATGATTCGGGCTGCCATGGCTCGACAGATGACGCCTGCTCGCTGTAACATGTAAATGTCAGAACCTGAGCAAGCCATTTTTTCAACTAATAGGTTCGGAATGAACTATGCTTTCCTCCTCACATGGTGGGAATCCAATGTAACAGGTCCTTACTTATGTCAGCATGTATCGCAGGGAAGCAAAGCAATTCTATCATCCATCTGCTCCAGAGTAGAACACGGGAAGTTTGCGAAAGCAACCATCATATTTCGAGCATAATGAACTTGAGTGTGGCCGCGGCTTAGCCAGGATTAGGCACAAGATTAGGTCAGGCAAAAAGAAGACAAGGTGGTGCAACAAGTGCCGCAACTGGCAGATGGGCAAGCTTTACTAATATGCTGGTTCTTTTTTTTCATTCTCACCGTACGAAACTGATTTTCATGATGGGCATGGCCGATGCGTGCATGGTGTGAATCTAGGAGGACCTCGTTGACGACTACATGGACAATTAATCCAAGTGCATGATCACATTCGCTAAAAATTACGCTATCGTGCGTCCGCGAACTGTCAGCAGTTGGAGGTGGCTGTTCGAGACACTGCTAGAGCCAAACATGCGATACGCAAGGCCAACTCCGTCGCTTCCCTTGCTCTAAAAAAAACTCAACGGCAGACAAGACATCTGGGCGTGACTCCCAGAGGCGACAGTAGTTCAACTTGCATCTGGCTCAAATGTTGGAACAATTTCATTTCCTAATGCGTTCATACTTTCTGCAATTTTTGACTGCTCTGCTTTAATTTTTGCCTAAGACCTACAGATTAGATAAGAACTAGCACTTCACTGAAAAGGTCAAAATCAACATGCAAGAAGCAAAAATTGTAGATGATTTAATAAAGTTAAACACATAACTTTTCTATCCAAACGAAGAACTTTTATTTGACCAAAACTTGAATCAGGATGCCTTTAGACCAGGTAAGTGCAGCTAGCCGGATACAAATGGAGGATCCATTACTGTCTCAAACTTGGTTGCACTATATATGTTTTTTAGGCTCAAAAACTGAGTTGGGGCACACTAAAGGTGCCGAACCGTACACAATGCATGCAGAAAATGGATGTTTAATTTGCTAAAAATAGATAGAAACCTTTCACCATTAGCAAGACAACAAAACCTACAGCATAGCATTACCCAAACTGTTCACACATGAGGCCCAATGCTAGAAAGTGCCTGCATACATCCTCTAAATACTTCTACCATTGCAGAACATAGGTTGCCATTTTCGTCTGCATGCTTGGAAAGTGCCATCACATGGCTTCCTCTTTGGTAATGGCGATCACCCAAAATTCAACAAATAGGAACCTTATCCACAGGGAAGTACTGATCTGAAGGCAAACAAAGGGTTCAGATAGCAGTGTCTACAACTAGTGTTGATAGGAAATACATGTTCATCTCCAACCAGAGGGAGAGGGAGAGGTGGACTGCATGTTGATTTTGATGTAATACAAAATTTTCAATGTGCTAGCAGCTCATCTCCAACCAGACATTCTCCCTCTATTTTTCATCCAACAACTCACACGCTACGCTTGCATATGTGTACACCTATGCCCATCATGGACCAAAGTTTAGATTGATTTTGCAAAGTAACTGGTGATTCAGAAAGTTTGAAAAAAAATGACATGTACAAATGATTGATCATTACATGTACGAGTAATGTTTTGTGAAAATTGTTACTTTTCTCTGTGAAAAATGTTAAAATGGTACTCCCTCCGTTCCATAATATAAGAGCGTTTTTTACACTAGTGCAATGTAAAAAAACGTTCCTATATTATGGGACGGAGGGAGTATATGCTAGTTGTTTGATCTTTTTTTACCTTTCTTGTAACTTGGAACAGAGTTTCCGAAAATCCAAAATAAGGAGTGCATCTCCTCGCCCTTCCGTGGACATACCCGTAAAGAAAGGAGTATGTGACCGAGATCAGAAAATCCATATACAACTGTCAACTGTCAGTATCCTTGTGATGGCGAGGGTGATCCTATAAGGTGTGTGAAAAACTAGTGAATAGAATTACGGAGGTCGTCGCCAAAAAAAATTTATGGAGGAAATAAATAAATATCCATTGGTTTGCAACTCTTGTTCTTCTGATATTTTTCAGGACCTCGTAGAACTTCAACTAGGTTCTGAATCAATTGAGACGTAAGCATTTCCTCACCACAAAGCGAAGAGGAAGGATGTGACGTTCCCGGATCTTTAGAACGGCCTAGGAAAGGTTCGAACGATCTAAGACTTTGCAAGCCACATACGTGTAACTAATAAACCATAAAAAAAATAGCTCTTCACGCGTTCGGAACACGGAAGGAAAGGCTGGATTACTATACGAGTCTAGAGCCAAAGTCTTCCCCCGCGCCTTCGTTCCCACGGCTCCCAAAATCGATGTTCCCACAAGAATTAGCATCCAATTATCATCAGACTAAGCTGAATGAAAATATATTACTGTACTGTTACATTTTCCTTCTTTCTACACATGGCTTGGAATATCTTTAGTTTATGGAAAATTAAATCAAAACATTATTCGGTGGAGAACTGATTTCATAAGACAAGCACCCTGACTAATGATCTTGCAGCAAATAAAAACACACCAATGACGATGGAGGGTACACAGCATATGATCAACCAACCTAGAATGAATAGGCATTTCATGTCCGAAAATAAATAGGATGAATTATTTCAGCAGTCACTAGGCCTCCCAATCATACATACAACCAGGGCCGCCCGCGGGAGCCCCCCGACAACATCTCATCAAATTACCAGACCTATATATACTATCTTATTGTTCATGCGACACCGACCGACGCGCATACTAACCAACATCCATATTCACAACATTCATCCTTCTTAACATCGCACAACAAAGCTGCCGTCTGTTTTTAATGGCAACTGGGTGAAAGGCAGCAACTCGCGCTAAGGTATACAACTTTCTGGTGAAGCAAGAGCTGCCTTCTCAATCAATTTTCGGAACAAGACATTCTTCACAAGATGTCATCAAACATCAGGGACAGCACCAGCCCCTGCACGAACTGGCTCCTCTTGGTTCTCTCCTCCTTCTCCTCAGGGAGCAAAGGCTCCTCAGCACTGTCCAACAAACAAAGCCATAATCAGCACACCACCATCCGGAAGTTACAATCCATGATTATCAAAATGAAACCATTCATACGATATTACTGTTCATCAAAATGAAACTAGTTCATACAATATTACTACTATTTAGCAGACATGTTCCATATAGCCTGCTTAAAGTGAAAAATGACTTCATGAACCGCCCTCAGTGACAGGTTTTTAGTGACCGACTATGGATGTTTCAAGCAATTGCATATCAAAATGACACCAAACTGTTGGTGTAGCGTCATATAAGTGAATGAAGCGTGCAAGTAGCAAATGAATTTCAATACCTTTCTTCTGCTTTCTGCTCCGAGGCATCACTTTTCTCAATAACTTTTTCCAATAACTCTTCTTGTGCATCTTTTGGCGAATCTGCATCATCATCAATGAAGCTACCAACAAAGGAGGAGAGTAGAGGATCAGGCACTGTGTTGAGCGAGGTGGCACGAGAGGATCCACCATAGCGGTATTGTATGTGCGCCGCATCCTTTTTCAATGCGGAATACATTGAAGAAGGTGATCCAGATGAAACTCGCTGGTTCCTCCACCTGCCCTGCATGTTACAAGCATGAACATAGGATTAGATGATATCCAAATAAATATGGAATATTATTAAAACAGGCATGAGAGTTATTCAAATAGGAAAGACTTCATATTAGAGATAGGGACCAAATTAGTATCCTTTAAGTTATTACTCAGGGCTCAAGTTAGTGCTGTATGAGGGTCATTGCATGTATCAAGTATCAATCAAGCACAAGAGGTTAATAATCTATAATCAATCAAGCACAAGAGAAAGCTAATCTATTATCTTCGCCATTCGTCCTTCCAAACCTATGTTCTGCTCCCCAATCCTCTACAATGTGCCATTTGGCCATCTTCCTGGCGGTAGTGAACTAGTTTATTTCATGCATGTTGATTTTGTTCAAGAGGTACAGAACTTGAATACTTTAATGATCTCATTTTCCTAATTGCAGATCATGATTGAACAATAACAGCAACCTATTCCATGCAGTTTCAGTTATATATAATAACTGACTGATGAATGATGATGCTTGTTGAAACTAATGATACCTTGAAGAAACTGGGATGCTCTGAGGTCATGTGCCCAACCAAGTCCATCCCAACTCTATCTGTGCATATAGGGCACACCTAAAGGAACAAAATGAAAAATAACCAGTAAGCAGACAAAACTGATCATGTCTGACTTAATTGTGGATGGGCATAGTTGTTTCCACAACAATCTAACAATAGATGTTGGAATTTACTTGAACATTTCCAAATATTTCTTATATCACAACATGCAAGCGAAGTGATAAAATACATAAACCCTATCCACACTATCAATAATCAACTACACATGGAACACAAATGTTATCTTAGCAATCCTGAAATCCACATATTTCATAAAGGAATAATAGGAATAAAAAGCTACTGCAGTTCCATTGCCTAAACACTACTCCCTCCGTTCCAAAATAGATGACCCAACTTTGTATTAAAGTTAGTACAAAGTTGAGTCATCTATTTTGGAACGGAGGGAGTATTTTAAAAGGCCACATGCACAAGCGAAGCATCACTGCTACAAGCCTACAACTACTATAGCGGCACCAGTACACACTACAAGATATAAAGAAAAATTGGCAGCCACCGCACATTGCACTGCAAAATTAGTTGTGCAGACCCTAATTGGTCACTTACCCAGACATGAGTAAATCCAAGAAAATCAGAACCACTAGACTTAATACGGAAAGTGTAAAATATTGACTGCTCAGCCCAGAAATTCCTCTATCCACACTGTATAAAACATGGAAGTGCAACCAATGCAAAGTGTGCACTATTTAGTCTTGATGTTGTACACGGTTTTGCAGAAAAAAATAATCTTATACTCACCACTGCCATTAAGAGCATCCAACACCTTTTGTAACTAGATTTGATTGTGATCCTTTTTTATCTTGACGTAATCCATTGTAAGTCATTACTTTATGCTACATTTAAGTTGAGTGCATCCAGCATATTGTGTGGTTGGATTTTAAGTTGACATGTGATGATGATGCAATATCATGTAACTGTGATTCCGCGCTTAGGATGGCTCTGTTGTTTCATTTGTAAGATTGCTATGAAGTTTATGGCATTTGCAAACAATAGAACCATGATTTTCAAATTATACTATGAACTACAATAGCCATCACTACAACTTTTGGGCCACACACTGGAAACATTACATTGAGAGGTACTTCCTCAAAGATCTATCAAGTATAAACATATGCACCTGGAGCACTCACAATATTTACAAAAAGCAGTTCAATCAAACTCCCAAAGTTAAACTGAACAATTAACTCCCGATTTCAACCAATCAGAGCATAGAATTCATTTCACCAAGACACCAATTACAAGTGTGAATAAAAACTACAAATTCGTAGTATATTATATGATTGTATCAACTAAGCCACATGAATGCCATGCCATCACATCGACTTTATGTATCTACTGAAAAATAATGTATGAACTAAATTAATTAGAACGATCTAATCTTCACACGTGAAACACATCTCAATAAATAATATTTCCGTTATGAAAGATGCACGCCACTACTCCTGCAATTTCCACATTAGTGGATCTTTCAACCAATTCTTAATACACTAACTAATTTCTCTAAACATAGAAAAGATATAATAGTTGGATCCTCTAATGCATTCTTATTATGTAAGAATGAATTAACGATGCCACTATGAAACAAATGGAGACATGAAATGAAAGCACCCAAACTTCCTTGCAGAAGTAGAAAAATGAAGCCCCAAAAAGTAAGCCAAGCCTTCAACCAGCTTATAACTTAACACGCAAGCAACTTAAACACCCAAAAATACTATACTACTTGCAAGCGAACCTTGAGAGTGATAAATTAAAGCAGCTCAAACATGCGCCGTATGCCAGAAGAAGCACTCTAAATTCCTAGCTCAAACACCTAAAGGAAGATTAAGCACATTTCTACAAAATCAGATGCAATCATGAGGAGAAGAACCCTATGCAGCAGGAAAATACCAACTCTGTACACAGCAATATCTTAGCTCAAAAACTACAAGCATCTCAAACATGCATAGTATGTGAGTATGCGCAACTCATACGGCCCAAATTCCCACCTTCGCAATTAAAAATATCAAAATGACAAGTAAAATCACCACACACATACAGGCATTTCCCGGAGACTATAGAAACAACAACAATGCCTACGTGTTACACAAGAGATTAACAATAAACCCTAATTTTTGAGCTAGATGCGCCTGAAAGCCACTAGGTGTTAGTACATCTTTCCATGAAGGTTGAGATGAAATTACCCCGGCCTTGGTCTCCGCCGCGTGCTCGTCCTCGATGTGCAAGCACAGGCCGACGCCGTCGAACTCCTCCCCGCAGAAGGGGCACTCCAGCTCCTCCTCCTCGGCGCCCCTCTCTTCGTCGTCGTCGGTCTCCTCCGCCTCCTCGAGCCGCATGAGCGCATCTGCCAAAGCACAAAACCCCATCAAAAACCTCCTCAGGAAACCCTCAAAATCACACGATTTGGAGCCAAGATCGGATCTTTGGGGCGGCGAAGCACGAACCGCGGAGCCTGGTCTCGGCCTGGAGGCGTTCGAAGGTGTCCATGTCCATGGCG